TTTCTGTACTACAGTCAAAATGGCATATTGAAAGTGCTGTACTTTGTAAAATTGTGTTTTCAAAGTAGCAAACCTGTGCTGAAAGTGTTTTCTTAGTGATAAGACAATATAGTGGGAGAAATTGAACAAATGCTTCAAAACAAAAAGTTTGGAACTTTCTTAAGCAGTGAGAGGAAAATAAAATGCAAAAAGAAACACTAAGGTTTATTTACCTAAAGGAAATTTATGGCCACAGCTTACTGTGAGTTTTATAACATCACTATTGTAAAATCAATATAAACCAGTGTTTATCAAACTTTTTTCAGTCAAGCCAGCCTTTAAAATTCTGGATAGTCTTGAGGAGCCCCATTCTAAAATAGGGTGCCTCTAGACTGTCCATAATTTTAAAAGGTCACCCCAATCTAAAATGTAAAAAACTGTTCTACTAGTTCTATATCACACAGCAACATCCACACATGTAGAACACCCAACATTGGAGCTGAATTATTCTAGCCAAAGTAAATACACTTTTGCACACTGGAACTGACTAGTATTCCAATGTTTCTCTTCTCCATCACTGAGCTAATGTGACCCCAGCACTGATGGAGAGGGGCAGGGGAGTATCAAACTAGGATGCTGTGCAGGCAGCTTACATCCTCCTTATCAACAGATGATGTAATTGGCTGTCAGGACACCGGCGGTTAGAAGGTCGCAATGGTGCTCAATGAAAATTATGGCTTTTTGTAACTAAAAGGCAGGGTTGTTCCACCCGCTGGCTTGCATACAAGTTATGGGCAAATTTTAGACATTTCACCAAGGCACACCTGAAGAAACCTCAAGGCACCCTGGTTGAGAAACGCTGATATAAACAATAGTTATTTTTGATCATCCAGTATACGTTTACTTGAAATATCTCCTTTTATATTTTAAGTGTTATATTGTAAGTGCTGCCATCTCTTTCTACAACTTCTTGGATTCCCTGCATGCTTTGCAGATTCTTTGCTGCTGTTTACATTCAATTTCTAAGGACTACATATCCCACAGTACCTTGCTGCCTGCAAGCTGTGATTACAGTACTGACTCCACCTCCTGAAACTCCTCCTCTTAGCACCTCTGTAGTTCAGAAGGCAGGCTCTGTGAAATGTGTGACATAGTATTGCCTGTCATATAATGAATACATGTCATGAATTCAAGGAAGTGTGTTGGGAACGTCACATAGTAAGTTTATAAACTTCAAGGTCATTCAGATTAATAGGAATTTGCTAGAAATAATTGAGATTTAATATAGGAATGAATTTATTAATAAATGTACATTTTGACAAATACGATATAAGGTACAGAGCATATTCACTTTGCAAAGGGAAGGTGCAGTTACGTCAATCATTCAATAATGTGCAAGCAAAAATCATGATTTTTATATTTTCCTTGCTCATGATTGAGTATTCCTTGCAATGTGAATTTTCAATTCGCTTCACCTCATTTGCTTAGCTAGGTAAAGATGTTGACTATGCCCTACTACTTTAGTAAATCAATCCCATTGCTGTCTATATTTGTACTCTATGAAGAGAACAAAATACACCCAATGACTGGCAGTACCTGACTAAACTGTGTGTAGGCCTCTAGGCTATCGAAACCTTGGGGCTCGCTTGCAAGTTTCTGGAGGTTTTTCATGCACATGCTCTAGTGGACTAACATTGAACTAAGTAGTGTGCCACTAGATGGAGATGATTATCATTACTATACACTACATTTACGTAGGTTGCACAAAAGTTTTTTACAAACTAACAGCTTAAAGAAGATGAGCTTTTAAAAGACAAACTGTAATGTGAACCTGAGGTCTATGGTTTATGTACTGTACATTGTTTTTGGGTACATTATATTAGTACAGTATTTTCTCTATAGAGTCTTTAACCACTTGCCCTCCAGAGGATTTACCCCCCTTCCTGACCAGGGCATTTTTTGCGGTACGGCACTGTAACTGACAATTGCACGATCACACAATGCTCTACATAAATTAAACATATGTCCTTTATTTTTCACAAACAGAGCTTTCTTTCTGTGGTATTTGATCACCTGTGCGTTTTTTATTTTTTGCGCTATAAACAAAAAAAGATGAACAATTTTGAAAAAAACAAACAATATTTTTGACTTTTTGCTATAAAACATCCAGTCAAAAATATTTAAAAAATCAAATTTTGTCATAAATTTAGGCCAAAATGTATTCTGCGACATGTCTTTGCTAAAAAAAATCCCAATACGTGTCAACTAATTGGTTTACGTGAAAGTTATAATGGCAGTATATATACTGGAATTTTTTTTTTTAAATACTAGTAACGGTGGCGATCAGCGACTTATAGCGGCACTGCGGCAGGCATTCTGACCCTGGGTGGGAACTGACTAACTGCCACTGACATTCCAATGACACCAATACAGTGACCAGTGCTAGTAAAAAGCACTGACACTATACTAATGACGCTGGGCAGGAAGGGGTTAACATCTGGGGCGATCAAAAGGTTAACTGTGCTGTGTGCTGTTTTTCTGTGTGTGCGGTGTGTGTGTTTTACTAGGGACACATGCTGCTGTGTGTTTCTCTGCTGTGCATACACAGCAGCATGTTATTGCTGGGAGGAGAGAGACCTGTGTTTTTTGCAGCGGGTATCACAGGGATCACAGAGCACACCAGACACAGTGATCACAGAGTGCACCAAGAGCATGCCACAGCGTGTGGGGGACGTGGTTCCATGGATGCCCTCCTGGAACAACAAAGCTGCGTTGTAGCCATCTTTTGGCTGTAGCGTGGTAAGAAAGTGGTTAAACCTCTTTTTGCCAATTAGTTGCCCAATTAAACGGTGCATTGAGGTCTGCTTGTAAGTTGAGAACATTCTGTAAGGATATTGTTCCACTGCCTAGCTTGGGGTCATCTGTAAACACTAATTGTACTTTTATTTGCAATCTCTATATCATTTGTAAACAGGTGAAAAAGTAGACAAGTGCGGTTTGTTTTGTTCTAAATCAAAAATCAAGCAAAATTTTCATTATTCAGAGATTCAGATGTATCCGAATTACAGTGGTAATGAATTTAAACAAATCCAGAATAACTAAACTAAATAGCGAACTGTCTGAATTCAAATCAAATTCAAACAAATTAGAAAACTAAATCTAATTCGAAAACACATTCAAAATATAAACACGTTGCCTACTTTTGCAGATTTCCTTCAAAGACTGTGTGTATTAGTGTTAAAATATATAAATTTGAATTTCAAAAATAATAGAATAGAATAAAACAGAATAGAATAGAAAATAAAGGAAAAGATAAGAAAAGAAAAAAGAAAAGAAAATAATAGAATAAAATAGAACTGAATATAAAATAAACTATAATAGAATAGAATAGAACAGATTATAAAAAAAAAAAATAGAATAGATATATTTGAATAAAATAGAAAGAATATAGCCATCTTTTAAAATTTTAATTTCTAAATTCCAATTTTGAATAGAAAAGAATAAATTAGAAAAAATATAGCCATCCAAAATTTGCATTTCAAAAAGAACAGGGTAGAACAGAATAGAAAGGAAAAGAAAAGAACAGAATAGAAAATAATAGAAGACAATATAATATAATATAAAAGAACAGGATATAATAGAAAAGAATAGAAAATAAAAGAATATAATAGAAAATAATAGAATTTAATAGAAAAGAACAGAAAACAAATAGTTTAAAATAGAATAGATTAAAATAGAAAAAATATAGCGTCTTTTTCGAAATTTGAATAAAATAGAACAGAATATAAAGAATATAGCCATCTTCTGAAATTCAAATTTCAAAAGAATAGAATAGAATAAAATAGACCAGAATAGAATAGAAAAGAATAGGATAGAAAATAAAATAGAATAAAATAGAAAAAATAAAGGAAAAGCACATAATAGACTATAAAAGAATAGAATAGAAAAAATAGAATAGATAAGAATAAAATAGAATATAAATAGAATAGAACCACCTATTCTTCCCAATTAATTCAGATTGATTTGATATTTTTCGATTCAAACACTTCAAATTCATTGTAATATTTTAAGCCCTTCAAAAACAATTAAACTAAACTAATTTCATTACAAATGTAAAGTAATGAAATTAGTAACTTAACGCACTGATCTGAAATTAAACTAAATTTGTCATTCTACACGTCTATTAAAAAGTAAAGGTCCCAACATTGAACCCTGGGGTACATCACTAACAATTTCAGACCATTCAGAGTATGAATCATTAACCACTACTCTCTGAATACGATCTTTTAGCCAGTTTTCTACCCATTTACATATGGATTTTTCCAAGCCTGTAGACTTTACCTTACACATTAGCCATGTGTGGGGAACTGTGTCAAACGCTTTGTCTACTCTACGCCACTCCTTTCTGCAGTAAGTTTCTGCTTGCTTTGCATTCAAAGTAATAAGATTTGTTTGACAACTTCAGTCTTTTGTAAATCTATACTATTGCTTAAAATAGTGTTTCCTGGCCAGAACCCTTATACAGGTGAAACTCGAAAAATTTGAATATCGTGCAAAAGTTCATTTATTTCAGTAATGCAACTTAAAAGGTGAAACTAATATATGAGATAGACTCATTACATGCAAAGCAAGATAGTTCAAGCCGTGATTTGTCATAATTGTGATTAGAGATGAGCGAATTATTCAAAAATTCGATTCGGCTGATTCGCCGAATTCGCGGAATAAATTCGATTCGAGCCGAATATATTCGCTGCAAATTTAACTTATATAAAAAGGGTGTTTCTAGGCTTCAGAGAGCCTTTATGTTAGTGCAGAACACTGTACCTTTAATTTAAATGCCCTTGGAGTCTGCTGGGGAAGAGAAATAATACTGTCAGTCAGTATGACATGCAGATGAGTGCCGTCGATCTTAGAATCACTGCACACTTCACTCATTTGGGCAGTCACGGTGCCAAAACCAGAGTGTGGAGCCACAGTGTGGCGGTGGAGGCAGCAGCAATGGGAGGCCATACAGCACCCTATGACAAAATGGAACCCACCAGCAGTGTGAGGAGACCTGAAAGTGGCACATGGCAGAGTGTGGCGATGGAGACAGCAGCAATGGGAGGCCGTACAGGGACCCATGACACACTCTGGACCTGGCAGCAGCATGAGGAGGCGGTGCAGGGGCCCATGACAGATTACGGGCCTGGCAGCAACATGAGGAGTCGGTACGGGGGCCCATGGCAGATTACGGGCCTGGCAGCAGCAATGGGAGGCCATACAGCACCCTATGACAAAATGGAACCCACCAGCAGTGTGAGGAGACCTGAAAGTGGCACATGGCAGAGTGTGGCGATGGAGACAGCAGCAATGGGAGGCCGTACAGGGACCCATGACACACTCTGGACCTGGCAGCAGCAAGAGGAGGCGGTACAGGGGCCCATGGCAGAGTGGCGAAGCGTAAGCAGCTTAAATTGAAGGCCATACAGAGGCCTATGTTAAAAATAATAACATGTTTGGGGCATGATTCATGGCGGATTTAGTCAGTTGTGTCAGGAACTGGTGGTTTGAAATCCAGACTAATCCACGCCTGATTCATTTTCACAAACGTGAGTCTCTCCACACTTTGGGTGGACAGTCGAGTTACAATACCTCCTGCCGCACTAAACACGCGCTCCGATGCCACGCTACTGGCCGGGCATGACAGCCTTTCAAGGGCAAATTCAGCTAGTTGGGGCCAAAGGTCAAGTTTTCATTGCCCAGTAGTCAAGGGGATTG